GTGGGGGAACTTGCACAATCGGTGGCTGACTAAATACTTTTTTGCCCCACTGTATGTGTGTGAGACTTTTGTAACATCAGCATCATGTTTTTGTTTTGGCGAAAAGCAGGTAATTGTGTCTAACGTCATGGTGTGTGTGAGTTACAGAGAGGTGTGAAAGTATGTGAGTGAAGCGGTCTCCAGCTGGGGCACAGATGATTCTGCAGGTCACCTGCCTCGTGGACACAAAAGAGATAAAATTTCTGTTGATGAAATATGAATGAGAACATGAAGAGTGTTTGGTGTTTCTCAGCCTGAAACAACTGCAATCCCACTTTATATTTTTTTTAAGAAAGGAGGGTTAAAAAAAACAGAGAGAGATGTGTGTTGTTTAAGCAGTGATGAGAATAATGAAAACGTGATGAGAGACATACACTAAAACACACAGAAAATGCATTAACCATACTAACCCTACATGCATATACACATACAATGACACTCATGAAGACCAGACAGCATCTTAAGCATGAGATTCTGTTTGTCATCTTGTCCAAGTCACTAGTAAGATGAAAGTGATACATAGACTAGTGGACTGAATATTGCACTGCACTATACACAGTGCAGGTAAACACCACTTCTGAGTCACCTGATGGTTTGCCAGAATCTCTTCGAGGGAGTCCGAAAGTCTTTTTCCATGGCCTCTCGGAACTCCTCCCACACCCAAGTTTTTGCTTCCGCCACCGCCTGTCAGTACCTATCAGCTGCCTCCGGAGTTCCACAGGCTAACCAAGCCCGGTAGGACTCCTTCTTCAGTTTGGTGGCTCCCCTCATGTCTGGTGTCCACCAGTTGGTTCGGGGAGTACCACCATGACAGGTACCAACTATCATGCGGCCGCAGCTCACTGCAGCGGCTTTCCCAGTGGAGGTGCTGAAAATGGTACATTCGAACTCAATGTCCCCAGTCTCCCTCGGAATGTTGTTGAAGCTCTGCCGGAGGTGTGATTCGAAGATCTCTCGAACCGGGGCCTCTGCTAAACGTTCCCAGCACACCCTCACTGTACGTTGGTGTAACCCATATTCAAGGATGGCTTGGATAAAATATGCCAAAATGAAAAAAAAGGACCATTAATCTTAGCAGTCACACTCTGTTTATAGTGACTAAGCCATAGGTGCAGCAGTTAAAGAGTTAACTGCTCCGGAGTAGACGTGAGTTGCTCTAAGCCAATGAGCTGCTGAAACGTGGTGCAGGGCCCCGCCTGCCATCTCCGTCTGAGAGAGCACAGGCTTTGCCTCCTCTCTCGCGAATCCTCTGTGAGCACGCTAGCAAGGAAAAGACACGGCGATTTACTGAAACGAGATCGGGAGTTAGAGACTACACCATTTCATCATTCCTGCGCCATCTCGCGCTGCTCCGTCTTTCTTTTCTGAGATCGGTCAGTTTGTTTTTTTTTTGT